ATAAAAAGCATGCGCGCAGCTCTTCGAGTGGGTCCACATCAAGGCACAGGTAAAAGTTTTGAACTTTTATATTTTTACTTCAAAAACAAGACTAGCTTGTGATAAATGTTGGGATATTTGCAAAAATATTATGTACTATGATTTGTGCTGGAATTTTAGGTCGAAAAGTCGTTCGCCAGCGCGCAAGAAAAGCACACGAGCCCCAGCCCGCCCAGCCCCCACGAATCAAGTCGCACGGGTCGCGTTCCTCGCGTCACAATCGCAGTCCTTCACCTTCCTCGAAAGGTCGTTATTCACCCTATTCCCCGAGACCTTCCTCTGGTAGGCATGATCGCAAGTCGCCGTCCCCGCGCGTGCGAAATCGTTCACCCGATGTGCGCAAACACAAGCACAAACATAAATATTAGATGTGTAATTCCACAACTTTATGCTTCTTACAAGTTGTTCATGATCCAGAGTTGTTAAGTCGTTTTTTGGGGGGTTGGTCGGCGCTGCGTCTGCGTCGTCGTCCGAAGAAGTGTATTTGTGTTCCATGGCCTTTTTTACAGGATGGTGTGTGATTTATTTTTCTTTTTATCCAATATTCCAAGTAGTAGACTTTATTATTGAATAATTTCTATTTTTTTTTATACTTGCACATGATATTGTATAGACTTGTAATTCGTTTAAGAATGTAAATTTTAACATGATATGTCTACAACAGGAGAAATACGTTTTAAAGTTATCCTTGAATATTTCCTTCAATTTAAATGTTGGAATCCTGCGGTGTGTCAGTTCTTAGTTGCTGTATGGTGGGTTGCCTATGGCACAACTCCATTTGGGAATATATTCCTGCTGAAGGACACTTGAAACACATCATTTGACTTGCGTATTTCGCTAAGAAATACTTAAATATGACATGTTTTCCTTTGGATTAAGGCTTGTTTTGATGCCAGTTTACATATCGAGTGTCATCTAAAGTATTCTGCTGATTGGTTTGCTCGTTTCTTCAAAAATGCTAAAGAATTGGAAATGCGATCAAAATAAACGTTTCTTTAAAGTTTTATCCTTGAAACGCGTGATTGAATTAAGTAAATATTGTTTTGCGTTACAATATCATTTATTCTATGACTGAAAGTATAATATTTATTGATAAAACACAAGTAAACATCCCTAAATTAAATAAAAACTATAAAATTCCAAAAATATTTGCCGATGTTTACTCCACTTTGCGAAGAAAAGCAAAGAATAGAAAATTTTCAGCGAATAAAAGGACAGTAGGACAGATTTAATATCATTAAAATTCATGGGGTCGACTTGAACGTCAGTTATGTGACATTCGCATTCAGGCCGGGGCGAGACGAGGGTGGCCAATAAACCACCGACGTCGCATGAAAAATCATGATATTTTCATTACATCTGTACAGTTTTACAGGCGCATTCATTCCCTTTTCGTCTTCTGCGGCTTGCATCACGAATTTAATAACAATAAAACATTTAAATACATCAGCAACGAAAGAACTCGTTTAAATATTCTCAAAGTCAGAAAGTAAACAAATTACAGTTGTAAACAATTATTATTTTGAAGATTATATGAAGTCTGAACCATATTTATAAACAATTTATGTCTAAGATTAATCTCATGTGAAATCCTGTATGAAAATGGTAACTGGGTGCAAAATAACATGAAATATGAGCGGATTTTGCGTCATTTACTTGCATTTGCTTATTATTATGCAAAATATGCAAGTTTTCCATTGTTTAAACTTTATTTGGCGTTTGAATATTTGATTGTGGTTAGAAAACGTTGAAAACAGTATTGACATAACCTATAATATTATTATAACCTATAAATACCAATATATCGCATAAAAATTGCATTTTTACTGAAATGAAGAATAACTCCAGTAATCTTTGATAGAATTTGATGAAATTTTACATACACTAAATTAATTAGCTAAGAAAACACCTGACAAAATTTTGTTAAAAATACTTACTATAACCTAGAAAATTTGAGGGTTAAACATGTAAAACATACAAATTTATGAAAAACAGTACCTAAATGGAAAAACTAAAAACTTTATGCCTTCAGTTGACAATTAAACTAATCAACCCCACGTAGCGAGCACGTTTTGTAATTAAAGATAAAGATAAAATCACAACGTGATGCTGTAACTCATTCCTCTCAAACTTGAACCTCTTGAACCCTTTTATTACGGTTGACATTACTTTTACATCTGTTGTAACATAGTTGGCGGCGTTTTTCTTCCTTTGCTCACGTGCGACTCGCGAGCGCTCAAGATAAACGTATTTTAAATGTCCGCCTTGATGAGGTCCTTCTGCTGATAGTCCTCTTCTTGGTTTTTGCGCGCCGGGGACGACATTGTCTGATTTTTAAACAAAGTTAATGACTGGCAGTCATGGCCGGAAAACGGAAAATTTGCTTTCGGCTATTTAAAAGTTTGCGCTAATCTTGCGCGAGATATGCGCGCGGGCAAAGATGATGATGGTGGCGTGCCTGGTGGACTTTCGAAAGTAATAAAAATCTTGCGAGCAGAAATGAGAATTATCCTAAGTGATCGCCGGGTGCCTCGCGGCGGTCGAGCGATTGGGGACGGAGGAGAGACATTCAGAAGTGTGGGGTGGGTTTTTATATATATAGGGTTGTGATGCCAGTAAAGAGAAGGGTTAATTTTGATTCTTATCTTATCAATAATTGCAATTTTTGTGGGGAGGAAATTAGTTAGTTTTAAAGAGTTATCAATACTTTTTCTTTAATTTTGAACAACTACGTTAATTATTGATGAAAAGTTATGAAATTTTATATATAGTTTAATGATTACATATTTTGTCTAATTCCAAAATATTATTAAAATATTTTGATAAAATTTTGAGTTATTGACTGTTAAAGTATAAAAACAAAAATATTTAGTTTTTACTTTAATCACAGATATCTTGGAGATTATTTTATAGAATATTACCAAATTTTCAACATCCATAGGGTATTTATGCAAAAATAAGGTGCAAAAAGTTTGGTGTAAAATTTTAAGTGCAACATTAAAATATTTAGTAAAATTTAATAAAACCAAATGTTTTATAAAATAAAATAAGGAGAAATTTGACCCTCAAATTTTTAAGGTTACACTAAATATTTTTAAACAAAATTTTACCAGATTCTTCTCTAGCTAATAAATATATTATATATAAAATTTCATCAAATTCCATCAAAGATTTCTCAAGTTATACTCAATTTCAATAAAAAATAATTTTTATAGATATAATTCTATCATAATTGATATAACTTCCTAATTAATATATCCTAAAGGTGAGTCCCATCCGGCGATTGTTCCACGCTGTGTGTACCATCCCGCCCGCCCCCATGATAAACACGCCGACGACGCCGACGTTCGGACATTAGACGTCTCCATTAATTTAAATTAGCAGCGCCTTTTGTGTTTTTCGGCGAGGGCGCGCAGATACACACCTGATAGACTGTATAAGGTGGTGATGATGATGATCGTCATCAATGGCGGTGCCACCTTTGTTTTCGTGCGCTACTCACTGTTACCCCTCGGCCGCTCGATATAATTGGGTTGCGTTGCGTTGCGAGGCGGTTTATGAGCGCGAACACATTTGCACAAGTGAACAATGGACCGCAATTACCGCATTTGCGGCATTAATCACGCGCGAAAGTCGGCCAGTGTGAAAATATTTGGGGTTGCGCGCGCGGGGGCGGTGAGGGTGGTGGTTAAAAATTAAACGCTGGGAGATGGGTGATGGGTGACGGGGGTGTGCAATATCTTTTGTAACCTTTCGTGTCGATAAATCATTTTTGCACAATGGCAAACAAACACATACATACAGAGGAATAAACAACAAACGAAAGCAATTATTTAAGTTGATTAATTTTTAATTTCTTTGAATTATGATTGATTGGATTAAAATTTAGAAACAGGTTTTAATTATTGAATTGCTTAATAGTTTTTTAAATACAAAATAATAGAAATAGATTTTGAATTGGATTTTCAAGAGATTTTAATTTTATTTGCGTTTTTTTTTTCTAATAAAACTAAAATTAAATTGAATTTTTTATAAAATAAATTTAAATAAAATAAAATATGATTGCTTTCTAGTAAAATAGTGGTTTTATAATATCAGTTATGTTTTTACTATTTTGAAATAATTTTAGTTCATTGTTCCGTATTTTCGTGTCTTGCATTTCATTATCAATATTGCAAATGATTACAAATTTGTACCTAACTATGACGCACACAATATAATAGATAATAAACAATATTTTACTATAAAAGCCCAAGCGATTATAAACACAAACATAAATCAATTCCACATACAAGAATAAACAGTTCTACCAATATTGAAATAACAATTTAAAAATGGTTAAATTTATTTTGCAAGCTGCTCTTCTATCAACTCTCCTGGCTATGGTATTAGCCCAAAAATGTCCTCATACTGTAGAACTACCTTGCATGCCTACATTTCCTTGTGAAGAAGATTGTACTGATTCTCCTACAGAATGTGCAGAGGTAAATGGTAATGCTGGCGTTCTTGCTCCTGGCGGATGTAATTGTTGTAATACCTGCGTGTACATAGTCAGTAAGTATAATTTATCATTAATTAAATATAAAGTACTTCATATTGATATTCATTCATTTTTTGTTTGTTATAGAAAACAATGAACAATGCGGTTATAATGCAACAACACATACTTCCTTTGAGTGCCGCTGCAATTTCAAGTGTGTTAATGGTGTATGCCAACCACGAAACAAGCCATGGTGGCCATAAGAAGAAGATGTAGAAGAAGAAAATGTTAGTTTTGAAGTGTTTTCAAAACATTGTTAGCTCTTGTTGTTATAATGATTGAGCGTTAAAATAAAATATATTAAAATAATATTTGTTGTAATTATACAGCAGGATCCTGCAAATTCCAGAACCTTAATATTTGAGTCTTCAATTTTGTCCATTTATTGAAATATATGTTTATGGGTTAAATGAGAAGTATATTTTTAATCGGGGAACAAAATTTATTTGTTTCAGTTACTGTTTACATTTTAATTATAAAAACATGAGCAGTGGTTGGATTTGCATAAATTGCATTCACCCTTCCAGAAACCTGCTGCCTTACATTCCTCGTCACATTTCTGAACTCCAGTGCATCTTGATGAGTCTTTAGGAATGACTGTTAGTGTTGCTGAAAAAAATATACATTTGTTAAGAAAACTAAATAAATAGGCTAAAATTTCAATTTTTTTCTTTAACTTACGAGTTGGGTCTCTAGCACTTCCAAATTCAAAGGAAAACACAGCGATGGCAAAGACGGCAAAAACAAAGCACCACTTCATTATGAATTGTTGGTTGTTGACTGCAGGTATTCTTCAAATAAATTGACTGAATACGTATTCGTTTATATACTAAAACCAGATCTAATTAAAAAATATTATCTAAATATTTTTCAAGAAGTTAATTATGAATAATTTTGGTCATGTAATTTAAGTTATGCATTTTTACCTTGTTAGTTCTTTCTTATCTCATTTCGATATATTTGAAAAGTGAAATGAACTTGAATTAACTTAAAATTCTATGAACTCAACGTCAAGAATGTGTTTTGTTGAGTTGCAAAAATTTGGGATCATTATTTATAATGTGTGCTTATTGAAGTTAATCATTAACTATAATTAAAAGATTATTCAAAACCAAAAGTTATTTAGTATCCCGTGCTACATTTAAATAGGGAGTTTTTTTAATTCCACGAACTTGAACTAATTTTAAATATTACTAAGACGTTTTCATACGATATGAAAGATGTGTGTTTAAAAATAATATTTCAAAAAGTTCAGCGCTACTATTTATTTTAAATTGACATGTTTTTCTTGAGGGGTAGAAAATAATAGTATATTACGTAACAAGTGTCTAAACGAGGGTATTAACAACGTTTAGCCACAAGATGCTCATGCTATTTTTTCTACTTCTACTCTAGTTCGACGTTGCGGTTTTTGTATTTCAACTTTTTTATTTTAAATCATCGCAATTTGCTCGCACACTTATTTAAACTGTAAGATTATAAGTGCACTAGCTTTAACCCTTGGCTTCGCTCGCGAATATCTAAAATAATGAAGTTGCTTCCGTACGCGTCTGTAGTCACAGAAGAAGTAACAATGAAGTAGAATGGCGGGAAGTTTAAAAGGGCTGAAAGTATAGTCTATGGAAGTATAGTGAACAGTCTCCATAGTGTAGTCAATTGGATTTGATGTTGACGTAGCTGTCGGTAATACAGTGTGATAATACAGTGTGATGGTACTATAGTACTTAGGTTTGAGCTTCATTGCTGGAATGCTAGATGGCGTTAAAGTAGTCAAATAGCCAGATGCAGAGGTTATATTGGCTAAACAATTTCTTTATTTTATTTAAAAAATAATTTTTTTATTAAATAAAAAGTAGCCTATAACCTTTCGGGGACCACTAAGAATATGTGTACAAATTTTCATGATGATCTGTTAAGTAGTTTTTGCGTGAATGTGTAACAAACATCAGGACTTTCGCATTTATAATATTAGTAGGGATATCGTGCCCCTCCGATACAAGCAGCAGCAGCGCCTGCTTTGACGTGCTTGACTGACGTTGCATGGGATTTCATACCGCGCGCAGCGCATGCGCAGGCGGCTGCTCCGTCCCGTGCATAATGCAAGTACATAATGAATATTATGTGCGGTTTGACCGTCCGTATATAAAGTACCACGTTTTGGGTCTAAATACTGTGGATAAACTGGCGTTGTATAGATGGAAGTAGAGAAATATTTTTAATATATATTTTTATCATCTAAGCAATAAGTGGTAACGCTTGTTTCATAATGCAAATCCATAAATATTCGGGGATATGGTAGATATGTATAATAAGAAACATATTATTATCGGAGGAACAAAATTTATTTATTCACGTTCGTGTTTCCAATCATTTTGCTAATTTTACAACTACAGACGCTGGATTCGCATACTCCCCTTGAATGACCTTGAAATAAACATTGGTCCCTGCATTTCTGGGCATTGCAACGTGATTTAGCGTGGACTGTATACGCTGAAAAACACACAATTCGATAAAATAATTCAAAAGTTATAATAATAAAATAAAAGTTTGATTTGATTTTTTAACTTACGAGAAGGATTAGCTGCGCTGAAACCAACAAATGCAATGGCGAGCATCATGAAAACAAAGCACCACTTCATTATGAATCGTTGATTATTGACGGCAGGTACTCTTCAAATAAAGTAACTCAAAACATCTCGGTATTTATACTAAAACAAAGCTTCATAAGGCGCAATTAGTATAACTGACAATTTTAATTATTATATTTATGTTATCTGTTAATCCACTTTTTTCATACTCGTATGTGAAGTTTGGTATTTAAATGAAAGTGAATTCTTTTCGAACAAGCTTAAAATTCCGTAAGTCATATGTAAAGAATGTGATTTATTAACATGCGACTTGACGCTATATAATGTTCAGCCTATTATTTTTAATGTACACCTATTAAAGTTGAACAAAGGTATTATTAAAAGGGTTTTTAAAAACTGCAAATGAAATATTATCAACATAATTAGATTATTTATTTATTTCCGTGGGTACGTGTTTCTTTATCAACGTCTTAATAGATAAAGCAAAAAACGGTTTCGCAAGTGAATAAATTACATGAGGAATTTTAAGCTAATTCGAGAAAAATGCACATTAATTCAAATATTGAAGTTTTAATATAAAAAAGCATAAAAAATCATAAAAAAGCAATTCGTAAATTTTATAATCAAAATTGTCAGTTATTACCCTTTAAAACATAAATTATATAAATATAAATTATCAAGTCTTGTTTTGGTATATATACGGAAACGTTTTGAGTCAGTTTAATTCGAAGAATACCTGCAGTTAACAACCAACGATTCATAATGAAGTGGTGCTTTGTTTTTGCCGTCTTTGCCATCGCTGTGTTTTCCTTTGACTTTGGAAGTGCTAGAGACCCAACTCGTAAGTTAAAGAAAAAATAGAAATTTTAGCTTAATTTTATTTACTTTTCTTAACAAATGTATATTTTTTCAGCAACACTAACAGTCATTCCTAAAGACTCATCAAGATGCACTGGAGTTCAGAAATGTGACGAGGAATGTAAGGCAGCAGGTTTCTGGAAGGGTGAATGCAATTTATGCAAATCCAACTACTGCTCATGTTTTTATAATTAAAATGTAAACAGTAACAGAAACAAATACATTTTGTTCCCCGATTAAAAATATACTTCTCATTTAACCCATCAACATATCCCTACTAATATTATAAATGCGAAAGTCCAGATGTTTGTTACACTTTCACGCAAATACTACTTAACCGATCATCATAAAAATTTGTACACATATTCATAGTGGTACCCGAATGGTTATAGGCTACTTTTTATTTAATAAAAAAAATTATTTTTTAAATAAAATAAAGAAATAGTTTAGCCAATAATACCTCTGCATCTGGCTATTTGACTACTTTAACGCCATCTAGCATTCCAGCAATGAAGCTCAAACCTAAGTACTATAGTACCATCACACTGTATTATCACACTGTATTACCGACAGCTACGTCAACATCAAATCCAATTGACTACACTATGGAGACTGTACACTATACTTCCATAGACTATACTTTCAGCCATTTTAAACTTCCCGCTATTCTACTTCATTGTTACTTCTTCTGTGACTACAGACGCGTACGGAAGCAACTTCATTATTTTAGATATTCGCGAGCGAAGCCCCGGGTTAAAGCTAGTATTTCTAAAAATTGATAGAATTGAAGTCTGAAATATTAAGGTTCGGGAATTTGTAGGATCCTGTTGTATAATTACAATATTATTTTAATATATTTTATTTCAACGCTCAATCATTATAACAACAAGAGCTAACAATGTTTTGAAAACACTTCAAAACTAACATTTCATTCTTCTACATCTTCTTCCTATGGCCACCATGGCTTGTTTTCTGGTTGGCATACACCATCAACACACTGGAAATTGCAGCGGCACTCAAAGGAAGTATGTGTTGTCCCATTATAACCGCATTGTTCATTGTTTTCTATAACAAACAAAAAATGATTGAATATCAATATGAAGTACTTTATATTTAATCAATTATAAATTATACTTACTGACTATGTACACGCAGGTATTACAACAATTACACCCGCCAGGAGCAAGTTCGCCTGCATTACCATTTACAACTGCACATTCAGTAGGCGAATCAGTACAATCTTCTTCACAAGGAAGTGTAGGCCTGCAAGGTGGTTCTACAGTATGAGGACATCTTTGGGCTGATACCATAGCCAGGAGAGTTGATAGAAGTACAGCTTGCAAAATAAATTTAACCATTTTTAAATTGTTATTTAAATATTGGTAGAACTGTTTATTCTTGTATGTGGAATTGATTTATGTTTGGGTTTATAATCGCTTGGGCTTTTATAGTAAAATATTGTTTATTATCTATTATATTTTATGCGTCACAGTTAGGTACAAATTTGTAATCATTGGCAATATTGATAATGAAATGCAAGACACGAAAATAATTTTGAAATACGGAACAATGAACTAAAAACATTTCAAAATAGTAAAAGCATAACAAATGTTGCAAAAAAAAACACGATTTATTAATTTGTTTTTAATTAAATCGGAATAATTAAGAAAATACTAATTGCACAGCATTGAAATACATACTACATCAAAGATAAATTAATTCTTCATCGTATGCGCATAGTGGTATAAATAATTGCATTAATTTATAAATGCAAAACAAAAAACAAATTTTGAAAAACCACATTTGAAAGTAACGCCATCTAACGGATTTACTCGTAGTGCGTAAACCACTAATATTTTAATTTATTTGCAAATATCTATATCTCAAATAAATACCTAAATACCCTTATATCACGTACGTATCCCAACACTTTACCTCTCACCTTTAAAATATTATTTACCAACCAAATATAACCTCGATATTATTACGCTTAGATACACCTACAAATAAACACATCCGTGTATCGAACCGTATTGAAGTTCGAAAAACACCCAGCCGCCCCTGAAATACACCCGAATTATGCCGGAATACGCGCATACGCCGACAATTAATAATTATAATTGAAATGATAATAATGATAATGGCCGGCCGCCGGAACGCGTAAATCGCCGCCGCCGCTGGCCGCCGATGCCGCAACTGTTCCGTTTCGCATTCGCGCACAGCAGTCGTACATCGATTTGATTTCGGGGCGGCAATCGGCGATGGGGTAGTTTTCCGACAAACGCGAAAGGTGCACGCGCGGGGGCGCACATCATTAATTCTCATAAATTCAATCGTTCAATGTTAATTGAAATTCCAAAATGTGATTGCGTTTCCAGTTTTCGCAAAACGTTTTTCCACCCGCCCCCACAATCACACACACACACAGAAAAGAGAAAGAGAGAGACAAATGGTTTGTGTCTATGACCGGAAATGCTATTAATCTTACTCTATGCAAATCGGTTCGAATTATTTATATGAACATTTTAAATTTAAGGTTAGGATTTTGAAAAATCAATATTTTAAGATCAATTTTATTTAAAAGAAATGAGAAATGCTTTTACTGCACATTAACGCCATCTCTAATTCAATTTTTTAACTAAAACTATGATTAAACCTTAATACCAACTTTTATCCCTTATTTAACACCCTTTACGTCAAAATTTTTAACATTTTAATAAATATTATCCTATTCCAAGCCAAGATGAATCCAAAAATTTATAAATCATCAAAATCCACCCAGCCATTCTTGAGTTATAAACGTTATAACTAACAAAACTATATTTTACAATATTTTTTATTATTTTTTTGAGTCCAACCCTGTGAAACGTCTGTGGCGCACCGCAAAGATTGCATACTTGTGCGGGAATTTAAAGAACGGTCGGCTCGTAATTAAAATATTCTGCTTGGACGCGTCTTTGCCGCCTCCAGTGCCGCCACCACCCTCTCGGGCAAGACCTACGGCGCTCTCCTGTCGTATATCCTGAATGTGCAAAGTCGAGCACAAGTCACACACAAAGTGTCGGCGTGTCGGCGTGTCGACGATGTCTCGCACCGCTTCGGGCGACATCTGCAAAAAGGAAAAAAGTCCTTTTTAACGCGAGGACTTCCTTTGCGCCGCGCGAGTGTGAATTCTTGAGCAAAGCGTTCGCTAAATAAATGTTTGATTCAAACCGAACGACGTGACTTTCATTTGTTTTTCATTTTAAGGATAATAAAGGATTTTTAGTAAATTTTGACTAAACTCACAGAAATATTGAAAAAAAATCAAGATTTTTACGTTTAAAGTGATAAATCTTATTTAATTGGTTGTAGTTTTCTCTAGTCTATCCGCCATGTTGATCCTTTATCTTTTTTTCTACATTAATGCTTACAACGCCATCTTTAGCGCTTGTAGTCCTTGGAGTCCTTGGATTTCGTGGTGAGAAAACTTTGTTTGATGTAAATTTGATTTCTTATTAACGCCGGCGTCCGCCGGCTGTGAACAAAACAGACGCACTATCACGATAACGTCAAGCGTGAAACCACGACGAATGACACGAAATTTCAGTCCTGCCGGAGCAAAAAAAGCGAAAGGATAACGGGCAAAAAATAAATGCAAAACGTAAAAAATCTCGTCGCGTCTCGAGACAGCACAAAACGAAACGAAATGAAAGCGATTTGTGAATGATTTCGGGCTTTGTGACGTACATTTCCTGCTATTTTTGAAAAATTGTCCGCTGGCGTTTAATATGCAACACGTGTAGCATGTTAAATTGGCAAAAACTTTCACTGGCCACAATGTCACATTAAAACTTCACAGGCGCACAATTGTCGCACCCTTGGCAATTTTAATAAATGTAAAATTATAAAACATTCAAATTCAACAGCAGAATAACAAAATAACAGAATAACAAGAGTGAAAGTGCATTATGAGCGAGTTTTACGATTGTGATGTTATATGCAAGCAGGGTGGATGAAGAAAGGACAATCGAGCTTTTGTATTGCCGGCAACCCAACGTACGCGCGAGCATGTATTGTGTGTGAATCGTGCGCGACGTACCTGTTGATGTGCACATTTGCATATAAACATGGAAACTCCATTAGGCTTAGGCGAATCGAAAAATCCCCGATACGGGATGATATTGAGCAGGATAGCGAGCTGGACAGCAAGCGGCTTACATCGACGGATTAGTCTACTAGCTTTTGATTTCTTTTCGCAGCGGGAATTATTTTTTATGAAATTTTCAATTTAAAAAAAAAACTAGAATTTTATGTTGAGTGTACGGAATAACGCGTACGGAATAACGTAACGCGCAAATTATCAACTGCCGTTTCGAATTGATTAAATTTATTTCGCTGTGCTGCGTTCGCTGTTAAACGATGCGGTACACGTTGCAGTTTATATAAAATATGCCTCGTGCGAATCGACGCGGACGTTCATATCGAGTTACCGGTTGAAGGTATTGAGTGTAGACATTTCTGGAGAGCATTTCTCGTGTGAGATGTGAATTTAACAAAATGGGAAATGTTTTTACTTGAAATATGAACTTTAAACGTTAATATCTCGAAAACTACTTTATCGATTAGGTTTAAATTCTGTATGTACATTTATTAATATGTTAAAAATATATTTCCAAAGTAGTTTTAGTTTTTAACAATTTATTTTATAGTTATTAATAAAAAAAACAATTTTTCAATTTTTTATTACTTTTCAAATTTCAAAACCAATTATCTTCAAAACTAATTTACAAAAGTTGTCAAAATTTATAAATATTATTTATTGTTATATACAGTAAAAATCTACCAAATATTTTGCTGTTTTATCAAAAACTTTAAAAGTTATATCAAAAAAACCACATAAAAACATTAATTTTTGAAATCAGAAATATTTTTACGTGAAACTTGAACTTTAAACGTTAATATCTCCAAAATTGCTTTTCTGATTAGGCTAAAATTTTTAATATACAATTATCAATATATAAAGTAAATATTTCCGGAGTAATTTTGGTGTATATAAATTAGTTTTTTAGTTATTAATAAAAAAGCAATTTTTTAACTTTCAATTTTTTTCAAATTTCAAAACCAATTATCTATAGAACTAATTAACAAATATTATTGAAATTTTTAAATATTATTTGTTGATAATTATACTAACAATCTACCAAATATTTCTATTTTTTATCAAATATTTCCAAAGTTATTACTAAAAAACTGAACAAAAACATTATTTCGTATCTTGTGTCAATTTTCGTTACTTTCTTTAAATGAAACACAACATCCATTTTATATACCATGTGTTTTATAAGCTACTCACCATGGACATATTGTATATTCCACTAGCATTTGCAAAAATAACGTTCAATTACCAAGTCACATGTCTCCCTGCCTCCACAGTCAAGGGGACAGTCTCCAGTCGTGTATCGTATATCATATGTGTGTCCTTGCTCCTTGCTCCAAGGACCTCCAACCTTCAAGGTTTATTATGTGTGTGCAGTGCTTCGTCGTGCTTTTGATCATGGCGTCGCTGGAGTACTTGACATGCAGACACCGTCCACCGTTGCACACGTCCTTGTAACGTGCAGCACGCCAACAAAGAAAAAGCAAAAGTTCCAACATGTTATTTAACTTATGTCATTGTAGATGGCGCTACTAGCTCATACATCTGCACGCGGAGTCAGTCAGCCATCTTGTTTAACTCGTGCGCACATTTTTAACGGACCACGTTTGTGGTTTAAATTTGTGTCAGTGTGTATCAGTCTGTGTGTGTATAACGGCGTGTCCTCTTTTCCAACCATCCCTAAAACACGAAATTCTCTTCGGATGCCACACACGCCGGCTGAATATATAAACCGCGCGCGAGGCGTAATTAGAACGCCGAGCGCCAACCATAATTACCCGCAACAATTAGTTACGTTATAAAATAGTCGCTGCCGGCATGCAAGCTGCTCCGAGCAAAGTATTTTAGTATTTCAGTCGCTCGCAGAATTTTCCGTCCCCCCTGCAAGCATGTACACAGGTGTTGTTAGCCATCTAGGGATTTTATTGTAGGCAACTTGTATTGCACGTAATTTGCGTTGCATACATTTTTCAGCAATTCAACACTTCACAGATCATAGCGGATTAGTTCCACGTCTATTAGCACAGAAACTTGTCATGCGTGATGCTGGAAACATGTGCGTTGATGAAAAGCGAGCTTTGTGGTAAATTTAGACACAGTTTATTTGATTAATGCGTCGAAATGTGTCCAGACTCACGTTCTCACACTGCGAGCGTTTAAAATATTTTACGGTGTGTTATATAAGTTGCATAACATGAATAGCATTGACGAAGACATTTAATTACGTAAAGTTTTTGGTTTTGGGGATGTTTTTGTGGGTTTTTCGCACGTGGAGGTCGTGGAGTCACGTGGTCAGTTTACAAATCAAGCGGCAATTGAGGTATTCAATCGGCGCGGGTTGAAAGTTGCGAGTTTCTGTGCGGTGCGAACGCTAACGAACGAAAATCGCTCTGGTTTTCTTTGGAAAGATAGAAAAGTAAGGAACTAACTGTGAGTCAAGTCGCAAAAGTCGAGAAATCTACGAATTTCGAGTTCTATTGCTTGTTTTTACGCTTTTTGGGTTTTGGGGAAAGTTTCTACGCGCTAAACTAGACGATTAAAGTTTATTTTCTTCGTGGGTGTCGAACACGTTGATTGATTTCGTACTGACATCAAGCTGGAGGTTGTGTAAGGGGGTTTATATATTTGGTTATATAGCAAAATAAAGAAACTTTAAAAATAAAAAATTAAATAACAAAATTGACGAATATTGCAGAAAAATGACCAAAAATATTAATTTTTTTATGAAATTTTATCTTTAAATAACAATATCTCCTAAACTAATGCTTCAATCACATTCAAATTTTGTGTATTTATTTACAGAAACATTATTAACCTAAATACAGAAATATTTATTGTTTAATTAAAAACTTTCCGTTTAAAACTCAAAAAACCAAACATTTTTTACAAACGTAATATTTCCCCTTAAAACCAAACTTTGAGCAAAAGAAAAATACATGCATTCCACATCTTTACCGTGAAGTGTTTATTATTTCGTCGATGCACCGCGTGGCACACGTCTCCGATGCCTGCGAAACTTCGAACCGTGTTCGTAGCTTGTTTGCTTAATATGCGATTGTTGTGCTCGGAACATCTGCGCGGTTATGAGGCGCGTGCTCGCGGGTCGTCCGCCGAACTAATGAAACAAATAATCCGGCGCCTTTCTTCAAGATACCGCGTTTCGTTTCACAGCGATCAGAGCTACTCTCTAGCTGTAGAAGTACTCGTACCTGCTTTGACGACGTTCGGATTCAATTACTTTTTAATATATTCGCAGGCATGAGTCGCTTGTTAAGCGGGGAATTTATTTTATACAAGACTCGGTAAAAGGTGTTAACTCGTTATATTTTTAGATTAGGCAACTTATATTACTAGAGTTATTTAGGTTGCCTATGGTAAATTAAGCGGGAAAATTATTTTTGAGTTAGGCAACTTGTATTGCTGTTATTTTGGTTGCATAAGTTAAGGTCAATTGCCAAAAATAATTTTTATGTTTTTTTAAATAATAATTTGCCCACAAATGCAAAATTTTATAAAAAAAATTAAAATATTTTGATGTTAGGCAACTTGTAAGACTGTAATTTTGGTTGCCTACCCCCAAAAATGTAATTTTTAATGCAAGTATATTTTTATCATACAGTAGCGATTTTTTCCAGGAGCCGGTAGCTGTGAAAAGCGAAAAACCGCGTTATCACACATCTCTCACGTTGGCTCGGCTGCATTTGCATTATATTACCACCTCGAATAGCTCACGAGGCGTCGAAACACTAACGTCATGCATAACAAGCGTGCACGCGCGAAATTCCGCCGGCGGAAAAATCCTCGAATCGCGCACACATCAGGCCTCTTTTTGATCAATTTCGATTTACGTCAGGGCGGCGAAAATGAGAAAATGTTAATACGCGCGCGCATATCGCGCCTCGCAATCCCGTCAGCTATCCTTAGACAACATCTAATGGCTTCGCACATTTTTACCCGCCGTTTTAACTCAAAGCGAAAATTCTAATGAAAAATTTCTCAGGTAGAATAAATGGAATATTTAAGATTAAGAAATGTAGAATCATGAAATGCCTAAAGTAAGTTTTATTCCTTTGGAAACGAAACAATGCGATCGGAAAGTTTTGCGCCCCAAAGCGGAAAATCTCCAAACGTTGGAAATCTTTTCTGTTTTGCGTTTAATATTTGCGCTTTTGTCTCGCTGGTATTATAATTGTTAGCGAATTGTTGCCATGTGGAATGCCAGCAATAAAAATACTTTAAACAGCGTAAAACAATTACAAAAGTTTTGTAATCGTTGATTGTTATTAAAATATCCCACAAAAACAGCCAAAAAACGCTGTTTGTTATTTGGGTTGCATACATTCATACATTCATTTGATTGCTGAATATATAGGCAACCAAACACACACCTATGCTATAGTTTAGTTTTTTGTTTGTGCGGAAAAAACAAAGAGAATTGTTATCGCCGCCATTAATTTATGACGACCGGCGGGGAATTGATGGCATCAAATCAGAAAGCGTTATTAGTAGTTTTGCAAAGTAGTAACGACCGATATATTTTACTACCATATTTGCCAGGACGACAACGCCTCATCCCTATGCAACCCCTTCGCCGAAAACACGCGTGTATTTTTCCCGCTGGCGTCGCGGCGGTGTTTTTCGACAAAGTTAACAAGCACGAATTTAGTTGTTTTGATGTTTGTCCTCCCTTCTGCGGTGTCACCTCTTTTTTTCCTCTCCCCCTTTCATATTGAATGCATTTATATCAATTTGTCTCAAGCATGAAACAAAAGTTGCATACCTATTCAAATGTAAGTAGCGGCGTAAATTAGGTTAGAACTTCATGACATTAGAGTGGGGTGAAAGAATCAATTTGTCGGTTTTAACAAGAAATGACAACCGCAGGAAAGTTTTTACGAGAAACTTGTTAGTTGAGACTTTGACATTGCTATTGTTTACCATATGCTGATAAAGGTGGCAGCGGAAGTGCACAAGTTTCGCATTCTGCAATGAAATGGAATAAGGTATGGAATAAGGTGAAGGAAAGGCGCATGAGTGTGAAATAAGAGTTGACAGTTGAGAGTTGTGAGGGTTGGGGATGGGGGATGAAACTTGACATTCGCTGACAGATCATCTGGCCGGACTCGCCCACCCTGGGGAGATATATGTGATCATGGTTGGGTTAAGAAACAAAATGCATCGAAAAATATGATATACTCAAATAAAATAATATAGGCAACCAAATATACACTGGTGAAATTTAGGTTGCTTTAGTATTATGTGTTGGAGTTAATAAATTCTTTGTTTATAGTTGCTACGATAGTAATAGAGGATGGTATGTGATTGTTATCATTGGATAGTGATGACGTGTTGGTGTTAATCTGATAATCTTGAATAATAACGGATTATGCATGATTGCAAACTGATGCGATTACACACAAGTGAATTAATTGTGTTAAATTGTATATGAAACCATAAAATATTAATATGTTGTTTTGGAATGCTTTAAAAATTTAGTGTATATTGGGTTGCATATCTTTAGTAGCTGATAAATCTTAACCTAAAAATTATTTTTTTTAATTTTAGGTTTTTGAGGTTTTTTGGGAGTGTTGGTGGTTGAATAAGACAGGTAGGCTGTAATAGCTCCCCGCCGCCGCCGTAGCCGCCGCCGATTCTAATTACGCGTCTTACGTGCCGGCCACCCCGACGTGATCCCACCCATGCAGCGTCTTTTGATTTTCCCATTGGTTTTCCGGCGGGCGGCTTGCGGTTCGCCATTGGCGTAGGCGCGCCAGGTCGCCGGCGTCGCGCATGAGTGAAGGTGAGGGTGGACGGCGTCGCGACGCACGCTGGGACGCGCGCGCCCCGCGTCAGTGCATCGCCGGCGAGCCGACGCCGACGACCGGCCGCTCTGAAACTCAAACACGCGTTTGTTTGCGCGTCTATCTCGCGCTCAAATTCAACAATCACAGAAAAATTCAAAGATATCATTTGTTAATTAAATATATTAAAAGAATTAAATTAGAAGGGAAGAAAAAATTAGAATATAAAGAAAAAGTTTTTATTGTGCGGGAAATTAATTTTATTTCTTTTGTAAAACTATGAAAGTTCGAAAGTTATGGCGGCTTCTGGCCGCCATCTTCATGGTCAATCTTCAAGTCACACGTGCGGCTACATCATCAGGATCTGGGTCTACTAATGGTAAGTTTAGAAAATTTTTTTTTAATAATGCCAGACATGTTCTGTTTATTATGGAACAACCCGAGTATAAAAACACGTGTAAATGACCCGTTTAATTTTAAACGACAATAAAAAGCATAATTTGCCCAATAAAAATTTGTTATGTGTTTGTAAACTCGCTAAGTACATTAATTGCATAAATTACATACAATATGTTCGCAAAATATCAAAAAATAATTAAAAACTATTTTATTAGTCGTTAAAAATAGAAATATTTAAAGTAAAATTATGTTTTATTAATTTTAACTTCAAAATATTTGGAAAAAAGGTAATATTAAAATTAATAGTTTAAAAGTTAGGTTAAAGTGTATATCAAAAAAGATGTACGCTATGAATTCCACACACGTGAAGATATGTTTATGACGCGACGGCAGGTGACAGATATATGATTGTTTCTACGTGCCGCCTTTGCGTGCCGCCCGTGTAAGTTAAACTCTTTGGCCGCCGCCGACGTGTATTCAATTCGTTCAATTCGCTTAGTCGAATATGCGACTAACGGAATGTTGAAATGCGCTCTACGTGGCACGAGTAACCTGCTTCGACATCGCAGCCGCCCCGCGTCTCCGCCGCCCCGAAAACATTCGATGTAAATGTAAGGCTGTGCGGTGGAATGGTGTGCGTCTTGGTCGGAGTAGTCTTTCCGCAGTCCGCCAACGTTTCATCGCGTTCGACGTGCTGCATGACAATGACGGCGGGCGGCGGCGGTTTAGCGGTCTCGCGGAGGTCGCCGCCGCGAATGTATCCGAAACGGAAGGCGCAACGGAATTTCCAGTCATTTTCATTTCCGTCCGCTCATGCATTCACACACAGAGAAAAAACACAGCAAACTCGACAATTGAGTAGGCTACCCGTGTGTGTTGATTGTGTATATTGGGAAGCCTACGTTCGAGCGCGCTTGTTATCTCGTTTTCTTTTTAGTCGTCGTGCAGAATTTCCATCCGTTATTGCGTTGCCGGGGACGAATGACGCAGAGGAGTCTCTCATCGGGAAAAAAGGACCTAACGAAATGAATGATGTTATTACGCTGGTGGTGCACGGCAATGGCAATGGCGGCCATGTTTGGCCAAGTTGTTCGTGGCGCGCTTATTGATGTCGAAGTTGCGCGCTCGCGATCGGAATCGTCAAATCCGCGAACGGCGAGCTACGAGTCCCATAGGTGCGGTTATCACTTCATTGCTGTACTTTACTTTATCAAGTAAACACAATTTTAAATCAAGTAAAAAAATGTTGCAAAGTTTTTGAGCAGAAAATACAATATGTGAAGAATAACGGTCTAAAAATAGGAAAATATTGTTTTTTCACAGTTTATATTAAATAATATAAAAACTTATAAAGATATTGCAAAAATTCTTTCACAATATGATTTATAATTAAATTCTACATCGAATACTAAAAAAATTATTTAATTCGGCTTATGCAATAATAAGTAATTAACATTTTAATTAACTTTTTAATTTTTTTTATGATGATAAGTTTTTTGTTGATAATTATTTAATTAAATATAATAATTTATTGAATTAAATGCTATGACACGCAAAATTTAACGCTGATTCGAACAAATTAATAATAATCAATGTAGCTTTTTTAGTTATTAAGTTATTAAATAATAAACACTAAAAATCATAAATTTATAATTTTAGACCGGTATTCCTTACTTAAGTAAAATTCAAGCACAAAAAATGAATTTTCTTCGATCAAATCGAAATAAATTAATCAAAAACTAATTTTTAAGTGTTCAGGCGTTGAATGCAAGAAGATCTTTGTAGATCTGGTGCGAATGAGCATCACACACGATTTGTCACCGCCTCGGCTGGCAGTCGATGCGAGCTTTGCAGCTTCTTTTTGTCCGCGTCCTGCTGCGAATCCCGTGATTAATGAGCGGCGGGCGCTACCACGAGATGACGGCGAGATAAATTGCAACCTAATACATACTCGATATGTATCACATCGGAAGGCAATTTGACAAAACGGATTTAATCCCAGCGCCAATCTCGCAATCTCGAGCAGCAAGCTAATAATTACAACTTGGCACTGCTAACACACACACACATTTACACATATACACTGGACGTGTGGAGTATTTATCGCAGGTGTTTTCGGGGCGTTACCAAGGGTGTTATACGTTTTGTAACTTTTATCGCGACCGAGTTAACCGGTGATAATAGGCTTCATCGGAGCGGATTTGTCCGCGACCGCAAATACACCGCCGTCGTCGACCGAGCGTGGCTGGTTGCGGCGGCAGGGGCGTTGTGTGTGCGTGCGTCTGCCTTTTGGGTTGCAATCCTACCCGAAATAACAATAAATCTTTTTCTACTTTTCTACTTTTGCTGCTCCGTGTTGCACTATCTGTATTGTTGGGGGCCTGCGGCTGTGGGCTTCACACTTGTCACAGCAGTTTCGATCTTTTAACTTTCTTTCATTCAAGTGGAGATAAAGTAAGATTCATGATGGTGTATGTTATTACCTACTTGAATTTTCAATTCTTAAAAGAGGGACAAACATTTGAAATATTTTTTTCATACATTCACCTTTAATACGTTTGGCAAAAGCCGTGACTAAAGTACTTTACACTGTTTTTGCTTATATATTAATTAATTATATTTAACAACAAAAGAATATTTAAATTATTATCCAGATAATGTTATTTTATGTGATATTTGATTTTTGGTCAACGTGACTCGACTCCACTCTCGAATTCAGTTCTAAGCTTTCAAAGCTTGCACGTTGCGAGCTGCGATTACAGCCCGGGCGCCTCCACCATTCCCATGCAAATATGATTTCATATCTTTATTTTAAGACGCACAAACACACCGAGCGCGACTTTCGATAAATACGACGCGTACGTTTCTTCCGTACGTCGTGGAATTTATATCTGTTGTCCTGATGCTGGACAATATTACGGATGAATACCAAATCAGGACATCGCGGGACATGCATGGCGTCTTTCGGATTTTCTTCGAGTTTCGAATTAAGCGCCGCTCCGACTCGACTCGTGCAAGTCGGCTTGCGAACCGGAAACCGGAACGTAGTATTTATAGGCGTATAAAAATGTTAGATAACAACCCTGCTGGAGCGCCGGACCACTTTTATTATTACGAATGAATTGCTGAATAGCTTATTTGCTCGCGTTTGCAGCGCCCGCGCACGCGGGGAGATTTGTGTATGTGGGTGGAATTTAACAGTGAATTAATTTGATTATATAATTTTTAGAACGGAGGAGTGTGTTTTAAGTAAACATGCTGTTGATAACAATGCAAACAATAGAAAATTTGAGGTTAAATTGTTTGTGTCATTTTCTAACCTCAATAATGATATATAGGGATAAGTTTTGGTAAATTTAAGTCAGCAAGTTTGTAGATAATTTATCTAGGAATATATATTCCAAATTTGGTAGTAATTAAATAAAAATTGAGCGAGTTATGACCAAAAACGTAAAAATATTCAAAAATTTTGGCTACAAAAGTTTAATTGTCAATATCTCGTGATAGGAGTAAAATAAATAAAAATAATTGACATTTAAGAGGAGTATATTTATTCTAATATTTATATATTAATTTTATATTAAAAATATTAATAATTGTCGAAGTTATAACAAAAAACATAAAAAAAATTAACTCAAACTGTTTGAAACTTCAATAAAATGTTTAAATATTTAGTTATGTTAAATGTAAGGTTATGTTTGGTTATGTTTGGTCCTGAATAGTTGTATGTAGAGGTTAGAATAGTCAAAATGTGATTTCCATCGGATTGCATATGTGTGCTAATGTAGACAACCCAAAATACATATTGCGTCTGGCAGCGCGCGGCGTTGGCGGTTTGTTCGCGCGGAAAGCGAGCTAATAACGCGCCCGACGCTAAGTGGCACATTAAATCCGAGCGCTCGAGACCGCCGCCGCCGCCACCGTGGCCGCCGCCTCCCAGACACAACGCTTCTCGGCGTTCACAACGCTTCCTACTGAACGCGGCCAGCCAACACTGGCTTATTCCACAGATATTAGCATTCATCGCCGACGCCGTCTGTATTATAACAATGTTAATTAATTACCGGCAAGCTGGCGATAGTTGTGCGTGCAACGTGAACGTGCGTAATGTGCGCCACTGCTTGATGTATGTATTCACATTCAAATCGCATTCGCATATTTAGATTCGAATAGTACATAAAGTTGTCCATTGTAAAGTGGGGAAAGTGCATTTTAATCGTGGAAAATATAAAATTTTAATGAGTTAGATCAAAATAGATATTATTTCAAAGGTATGACGAAAATTTTGATGTAAATAATCTAATATTAAGCAAGTTATAGCCAAAAATAAATGAAATTTTATAAAAATTGTGGAAATTACTAAATTGTTTTTTAATTTTAAGCCGAAATATTAAAAATTTTGAATTCTGTTTTTGGATTCAGAAAGAGAATTTAAGTCTACGTCGATTATTTTAGCAACTTTTTTTGATAACTATGACCGTTTAGGCCCTATTTGCAATTTTAATATTAAAATTGGTTTTTCTATGCCAAAACGGCTTTAATGTAAAATTGTGTTACTGATTTCCGATTTAAAATTTAATCTACTTTCTGAATCCGAAAATAGAATTCAAAAATTCGTATTATTTCAGAACCTGCATTTGCTGAAATAAAAGATTTCGTCATAAAATAAGGTAAAAGATTGGCATGAAAGTGGGCGTACCAAACGTTAAATAAAACTAATTTCTGCGGAAAGACAGGGTCGAACTTTTTTTAACCAAATTATTACCAGTCGAACAACAGGGTCGAACTTATTTCTTAAAAACTTTCAGGTCGAAACTGTCGAAGTGCCCCTCCACCAAAAAAAAAATTTAAATGAGTAAATGATAATTATCTCGAGAACAAAAAGGGCTAGAAGAAAATAAACTTCATATTCTTGATCTGTAAAGAATTCTCAAGAAGATGGCATGTTTCTTGTAAAACGACCAAATTGGTATAAAAAAA